TTTGGGGTTTCCCTGAGACACGTAAGTTGTTAAATGCATTTGCGTGGAGAATTATGCACGGACATGAGACACTAGGAACAGCCTTATTCCTCGGAGAAAAGTTAGGAAAATGGCCAAATAGATGCGTTGATATTTCGACAACATGCCTTTATCGAAAGAATTATAGAAGTGAATTTGAAATTACCTGCCGATGATCCTACTCGATTTTTCGTTGCTTTTTTGAAACAGCAAGCCACAGTGTTTACACGACACAAATGTTCAGGAATTAAAGAAAGAGAGATTGCCAGCTATTACCACGATACAGTGCATCTCTAAGAATTAGAATACGCAATAAATACGTGTACATGCAAACGAATTCAAGTAAACAAGCATCACGCATCGCGCTTCATTCAAATATGCAAGCGAGCTGAAGTAAACAGGTATCACATATTACGCGTCAATGATGCATGCAAACGATTGTAATCGTACTGGCATCGTACATTACGCGTCAGGCATCACTTTCACATGTAAACGATTTTAAGCCAACAAATTCACACATCAAGGCATATATCATGTTCACATAATCGGCTTGGATGAGCCCTGTACGTTATGGTTTAGTCGCCGACTTTTTATGGGAACAGACTCACTTATTTTCCTGTCTGGGTGGTCCTGTGCTTTGCAGATGTCTGAGCTCTAAAAGGGGGCGAAGGGTCCCTACCGTCCTGCATTTCAGGGAGGTATGGATTACTACGTTAATTCACATTTATGTATACCGCTACATTAAGTTACAGTTAAGCAGTAAAAACGAATTTTTACATGTCGATGGACAATAGTACGCAATTTTGTATCCGTTGTTTTGTTTTTAGCGCGTCAAAAAGGTTACCACGAATGCTTCATGAGATAGCGTAGCATTTATTCAAAGCGTGTAACATCTCCCTTTTCTTTGAATGTCTCAGACACAAATAGAGAATCCTCCCATGTTCACAAAACATGGTGTGAGAAAGTAGGGTACTTGTCGCCCATTATCCGACAGCTGTCATGACCGCTGTCGCTTTGACATCTCATACACATACTAACCACTTGTGCCCCAAACCGCCGCCCCCAGGCCTACTGATGCAACCGCGGTGAACTTTTATACAGGGTCCAAGCAAACGATCACTAGCGCTTATCAAGCTCACTGACTTTGTTTGACCTTAAGCAGCGTATGGTGACCACAACCTTACAAAATTGCTTTGATTTTTGCAATGAAATAAGAGTACAAGCTTTTTCTAGACAGCATGTTTCTAAACGCAAAATGCTGGCCAAGGTCATTTAATGTCGGCAATCTATTCTGACCTTTAAGAAGCCCATGGAATGTGTCTGTGGGGTGGTTCCTGCGATTAATAAATTCAAAGTGGACACCCGAGACTGCCCCGCACAGCAAGCTTTTGAGTAAAAAAGCAGGTTAGTTTTGACCTCTATCTGACGTTCATACCTGACACTAGATTAATTGAATTCGTTGCAATACTAAACTCGATTGTTGTGTTAGGATCTCCACTATCCGATGGTGGTGCCACTAGTGCTCGGAAACACCACCGCCGCGTTGGAACGAGAGCTACTGAACTGTTTCTGTTCTGTTACGTTTAACTGTTAAACTGTTAAAACTGTTAAAACTGTTAAAAACGCCTACAACAACAGCAGCAGCTGCTTTTAGAATGTGAGCAGCACTAGCTGGCCACCATACGCATCGCTCTGCACGATGCTGTCACCGGATATCAAACCACTTCCCCGGAGCTCTCACTGCCGCTTAAGCGTCACCTTTGTTACCGGGTTCACGCTGTCAAGGAGTATTCCCTCAACTCGCTCCCGTTTGCCAGGAAGTCCCTTCTACCCGTTCCTCGCCGTCGACAATCTGTCTTCTAACTCGCCTAACGTCATAGAATCTCCGTTCAGCCGTGCTCCCTGGCGTCATGAAATCTCCGTTCGATTTCTCCCCATGTGCCGCCAGGGTATCTGCTGCCGAGGAGATCTCCGAGCCGGCTGAGTCCCTGCAGCTGGTCACCGCCTGTTCATGCTGCCACTATTTCGACATGCCCCGCTTCTCCGCCGAGGTGTGCTAGCGCCAGCCGGGGTTCTTGCTATCTACAGCCTCAGCACGCCCAAGGTGTACCACAACGGCGTGTTCTCGACCGAGTTTAGTGACATTTGTACTCAGGTGAGTTTTGGCTTCCTGGGAGCCATGTGCTGAACGGAGAGTCCGTGACACTTTCTACCTGGAAGCGAGACAGGGTTTGGCTGTTTTTTTTTGAACGAGCAGTGCAGCCAAATCTTCCGCCTCCTTGCAATTATTATATGTGTGAGGAAGTGTTGTAACTTCCCAGCGAGTGTGCGAGTGAAATTTAGGAGCTCACGCGCCGCAGCAAGTCTGCCACACGGCTTTCTAGTTATGGGAGGTGTCTGACCTTGTCATGTTGTGCACGACAGGCTTTCGAGACCATTGGCAGTGACTGGGGTCACGGGTCGCTTCCGGCTCCCCTACCCTGGAGAGGTCAGGTGGGTCTCGGCCGCGCCACCGGGGAACATCCACGTGTGAGGGCCGGCGGAACGCACCGTGTGACCGCGCCAGCACGAGCGGGGCGCCGCCAGGCCGGAGGTAGTGCTGTTCTGTGAGGGATTCCCGCGACCAGCCTCGCACCGCGCTCGTCTCATGTTCTTTCCATGCCGCTTTCCGCCAAAGCAGTGCTGAGGTTGCCCGAGATGTTACATGTTAGTGTTGGACCATTGTCATGCTTTCTTCAAGCTTTCCAGGAACGCACATTTTGATCTGTTTGATCTGTCTGTTTGTAGGTGGCCATTGGCTATTTACTTGTTAACGAAATTCCAGTTACCGGGTTTCCACATTTGCCATAATTTTTAACGCTGTGAAGAAAGTTGCAGACGTAGTGCCTTTAGTATATTGTGTATAACGTTTTTGCATTCAATTCTGTCAAATGCTGAGGGGTCTCTCCGTGTGTTGATTCTCTTTCCTATCACCACATCGGATCGGGGTTTCTCACTCCACCGCCGCGGCCCATGCGCCTTTTCCGCTGATTCCACCCGCGACCGCCAAGGTCACCGAGGTCGGCACCCCGCGTCTAGCCGGCTCTCTGACCCCGCCCTGCCGCCGTGACCCCGCACCGCGCGACTGACGGACGCCGGTCACGGCTGCAGAGACGAGAGCCACTACCAGGAGCAGACGGTGACGCTGGATGGCCTGCTGGGCTTCATCAAGAGCTTGGGTTCCTTCCAGAAAATGGTGGCCCGCTGCGGTGCCGAGCGGGGCGAGGTCTTGCTGCAGCAGACCCGGGAGGGTTGAGCAGCCGGAGACCAGCTGAGCAGTATCTCTGAATGTTCTGGTGTGCATCCATGTCGCGTTTTTTTTTTTTTTACATTTATTTGAACTTTTGACTCCCGGATGGATGACTTTTGGGTCAGACCAGCGCGTCTGGAAAACCAAAAGTACGTGGTTTAATTCCCGCGGTACCCGCCATTCCCGCCAGGGTAAGAGGCAGGCGACGCCATAAAGCCCCAGGGAGAGGGAGAGAGAGAGAGAGAGAGAGAGAGAGAGAGAGAGAGAGAGAGAGAGAGAGAGAGAGAGAGAGAGAGAGAGAGAGGGAGAGAGAGAGAGAGAGAGAGAGAGAGAGAGAGAGAGAGAGAGAGAGAGAGAGAGAGAGAGAGAGAGAGAGAGAGAGAGAGAGAGAGAGAGAGAGAGCCTGCGGCCTGAGAACCGAAGCACAAAGGGCTAAAACTCATTAAATAGCTTTAAATGTACGGCGCATGCCAGTGAGGGAATCGGTAACAAAACACTCGTTTCAGGGTATGAAAAGCTAAGCATGCATTCGTTTAGTTCGTCGAGTGGTAATGTCCCGCTTGGCTTATCACCCACAACGGCGTGGCAGAGGTCCCGTCTAAGATGCGTTGGCGAAGCGGCCGCTTGGTAAAGAGAACTGCTGATATCGGCTAACTTGATTTATGTTGCGTCCGCGATAGGTAGAATTGATTACAGAAAAACTAATCTTCTGGCCTTTGCCCCAGATTCCATGCGGTGGTCTCCAACGACGAGCCGGGGTCGATACTAACGCCATCGCTATCACCCTTCGGCACTCTTACTTCTTGCTGATGGCGCGCGAATGCCGGTGTCGCCGTGATCGCGACCCGCCGATGACGGATGAATTGGGAGAGCCGGTTTGTTTAAAGTGGGTGACATCTTTTAAAAGGCTCTTGCAATAAACGGGTTAGATGCAGGTATTCTACGGTCGTGGTAGTGAAGCTGAACAAGTGTGGAGCTTGAAGGATCTTGAGCGTTTAGTTCTGCATCGATATGGTTACGGGACGAAATTTTGAGACTAACGGGTGAAATGACAAGGTACAGTGACTACACTTACTGGTATACACTTCCCGTCATGGGAGCTTGTGAGACTCGTGCACTTTGCGACCCCTGTTGTACATTCTTTTTGTATCCGTTCGATGGCAGTGACAAGTAAAATAAAGTTGTTCGCTGTCAGTCTCAGAAAGACAGGATACATAGTGCAGCAGTGGTGACTTTTTCCCCCACTTCGCTGTGCAGTCTGCATCTGTGTTCTGTACCTAATACACCCAATCCATCAACGCATCATGTGTGTCATATGTGCGCCGGTAGCCCTTTCTTTCCTTTTTGTTTTTGTTACTTGGCTTCCCGTTGCGCGTAACTGGTTTGTCGGCTGGTTTGTGCGCCTGCCAGCGGAGTGCCTGTTTCTGTTCTCCGTCAGCATGATGTGCGTGGCATGATCAGCCATCGGCACTGATAGGTAATCAGCCCTGCATCTCTCCAGTCAACCGTGTGCGTGTATTGCAGCGATGTCATCCTCACCATGGGATAACGCTAAATCGGATTCACCATTGCAACAGCATTTTACGCTCCTGCGTCGCTGAGTGCCGCGCTCGGACACGTAAGCTCGCCACGGCCGCAGCTCCACGACATAAGTCCCTCCGAAAGCGCGAAAACAGCGCCGGCGGACGCGACCTCAAAACGACTGGCCGCCGTCTGCAGTCCCGTGCGACCTCAGCTCCCGTCTCCCCAGCACCAGACGACACAAGCGGCCGCGAGCCGGTCGTGACCAGCCGCGGCCCCGGCACGCCCGGGACCCTGCCGCAGCGACACGGGCCGCTTACAGCGAGTGCGGGTGCGTGTGCCGGTCCGTGTCAGCGGGCGCCGAGCCACCGGCGTCCTCCTGGCGCCGGCGCGCTGCTGACCCCTCGCCGTCGCTGTGGGCGCCGCGCTCTGCCGCCGCCTTCGCCTCGTCGCCGGCCGCCTCGGCGTCCGTCGGCCGGATACTGAACGACACGTGATACTTTTTGTCCTTGTCGAGCAGCTGGGTGGGGAGCTCGAGCATCTGGCGCTGGCCGCCGTGGTTCAGTTCCAGACGGAGCGGCTTGGTCGGGTCGTAGGCACGCAGGTCCACCGGCTCCGGCAGCCGCGTGCTCGGGTTGATCTTGGGCAGGATGGTCTTGGTGGGAGCCTTCGGCGCGCCGTGATGGTTGTTCTTGTTGACTGCCGGGCGGGCGGCGCAGTCAGAGGCTGGTCTACGGCTGATGTGTTTTCTGGGATGGGATGGCGGGATGCTGGGTCGTGTGTTGTCGACAATAGATCGACATTTAGAGACAGCCCGTCGTTAGAATGCTTGGAGAGGCAACGCTTGCCAGATGGAAAGAGTCGGCAAGTTCTTAGCTTATGGAAGACGACAAGGGACCTGTTATCTCTGGCACGTAAGACAAATGCATGTGAAATGCCGGCATCAGAGGCGATGGTCGTTTGGGTCGCTTGCAGACAACGCCCAAGCTCAGCTCCCTGAGTTGCTGCCTGAATGTCCAACATACACATGTGCGAACACCGATGCAGCAGTCACAAGGGATGGTAAGCCACATTCGAAGTACAGGTCACGCCATCTGCATCTCTGTCGTCTCAGTGCAAAGGTTTTTATAATATACCAACACAGCACATTGCTATTCAAGCATGTTATCAGCAAACAAAGGGGTGGGTGCCGCTTGTTATACATAAAGCACAACGCAGTCGGAATGCTGTCGGAACGCTGTCAAATGCACCATTAAAACAGTCCATATGCATAAAGTGAGCCGATAGTTTAGACTAGCGTCATTTGATTTATCACAAATGTACCATGCACGCACGCGCTCGCCGAGCACCGCTCCTCCCAAGTAGCAACACACCGTTCGTTTCCTTTCTCGCTTCGGCACGTGCTCTCTTTCGTGTTTGCTCTCGCTTTCTCACTCAGTCACCCTCCCCCCCCCCGTGCCCCTTCGTTTGGCCGGTGTGTGACGCTGGCAGCAGCCGCCACGTGGCCCGTGGTGTGCCGCGTGACCACGTGCTGAGGGAGCGGTCAGCTCTGCTGCCGAGGTCTAGTGGTGACGCGTTCGCGTCTCCTCGCGCGCTGCTGCAGGGGCGAGCCTCGTGCGTGAGGTGCGGTGGCCAGCCGAACAAGGCGGACCCTGGCGGCAGCATCTGAACACACCAGCTGCAAGCAATGTGATGGCGGAAGCTTGTGCTGAGAGTGGCTTACAGACTAGAACTTTCAAGAAACATTAACCATTTATTTACATTTCAAGTCATGGCCTAAGACGCACTAAACCAGGATAAAGGGGACAACTTCAAGAATGCAGACATGTTTTTACGTAAATTCAGTTGCGGAATGTCAACGAAATACGTCATCCACGCTGTCCAGTGCAAACTTAAAGGAAGTGCTCCACAGCTGCATAGGTCTTCGAACTGAAATCGCAATCTTGAAGATCATTCTGTGCAGCTTATATCCATGTCTTTTTAAAAGCCTTAGTCTCTAGTTTCTGAGCTCGACGCCTGCGGAGCTGCGCAGACTGTTTCGTGCGGACCATTTCAAGGTCGCCGGGCATTCATGACGCCAGAATAATGTTATTCAAATCCTGCCATTCCGTTGGCTATGCGGCTATTAAGGTCAATAAAAATGTACTTGTAGATTTGTTTACGCCTCGCGTTCGTGAGCATGATTTTCAGATACAATGGCCGTTGATTACCTCTCAATTAATTTTGTGCAAATTTCGATGACGCAGTCAAAGACGGACTCATTGAACAGTATATTTACTAACTTGAAATATTGTGTTGTCTAGAGGAATATTTTTGCTTAAAAGTACGCCAAAAGTTACAAACTAGCTTGTATCAATACATCTGATGCTTTTGCCAATATTTTCAAATGTGAAACATTCGCTTTAAAAACAGCAAAAAGAAGGAAAGCTAAAAGAAATATCACGTACTGATACACACAAACACAAAATTGTACGTCTAAAAAAGCCGCTTTCCTTTTGAAGACTAGCTTATCAGCCAATGCCATATTATAGCCTGCTATTAGCTCCCAAGAGCTATTTGTGTAGACGTATACGGAAGGTTTCTAGACGGAAGCTTAGAAACAAGGTGTTTACACAGTAGTCTGGAAAACCAATTACGGAATGAGCAGTTCTTCACTGTTGCATGGTGGATTTCTTTTTGAAACAGATTGGAGAGATTTTTAGCATCTTGTTAACGACGCGCAGCCTGCATAGTATCAAGGACTGCCGTAACTATCTACGTTATGGTAAGCTAAGTTCTCTGAATGGTCTTCATAAGGTGCCGTTCACGCGTCACCTAAGTTGAGCGTCTCAGCTATACCTTTGACTGCATCGCGGCAGCGCTGAACAGGTACAGCAGAAGCGGCAACATCGCATGTATGGCTGACATGTACAGCGCAGCCGGCATGTGGCATGCACGACCGACATGTACAGCGCAGCCAGTGTGTGGCATGCATAGCCGACATGTACAGCGCAGCCGGTGTGTGGCACGCATGGCCGACATGTACAGCGCAGCCGGTGTGTGGCATGCATCGCCGACATGCGCGCGTAGTGCGGCCTAGTGCGGTCGCCGGATGGGCATCGGCCCGGCAGCCCGGCGCCGCCCGGCGGTGATGGCGGGGCGTGGGGGTGGGGGCGCTGTGTGCCGGGTGGTAGCGGTGCTGCGTGCTGGCCGGCGCGACCTACAGCGCCGGGAGGAGAGCCGCCGGCAGAACCGGACCACCGCTGACCACCACAGCGGGGGGGGGGGGGGGGGAGTGGGGCAGTCCACCGGGATCCAGGTTCCATCCAACACATGGAGCCAAGGGGTAGGCCGCTAGCTGTTGGGCCCAACCCAGCTTTGTGATCTGAAAAGTGTTCCTGCCATTGGTGGTACCCATGACGTTTGGATAAGGTTAGAGCAGGGGGCTTCGTCGTAGGAGTTAGATGGGTGGCATGTGTGTTGCCTGGGCTGCCTCGTGCGTCTGGCAAGCCGAAGGTATTCAAGAAAAATCGCTTCATTCGACTGGTTTGTACGGATGAGTTTGTATGAAATTCGACCAAAACCTACGTGTCTGGAAAGTATTATAAACATATTGCAAGTCTATTCCAACGGTCTTCAACTATGTCCCCGTCATGAGCTGCTGTCGTGATTCAGGAGTCGGGCCCTGCGCCATGCCTCCCATGCTCCCCCACGCCTCCTCCCGTCCCAGTGCTGGTCAGTAGTGGCCGTTTCGGCCCCAGTCTGAGGGAGGACTGATTCTGGCGGCTGCTGGCGGCGCCCCGGCCTTCACCCCGCCATACTTACGCCAGCCGCGGTGCCAAGAGCAGGGCAACTTACTGTACGCCACGCACGGAATGCCCGTGTAGGCGTGCGAGGCGTGGTGGCAGCCGGCGCCGCCGCCCTGCAGCGCCTCGCGCAGCTGCTCGTCCTTGACGCTCTCCTTGGCGCGCCGTAGCGAGCGCTGAACGCGCGCCAGCTCCTCGGCGCGCCGGTTCTTGGCGGCGCGGCGCTTGGCCGGCACCTGCAGGTGCTTCAGTTGGCCTGGCGGCGCGCGAGTTATGACGTCACTTCCGGTCCCGCGGCTATCGGTGATGGCTCAGTGGGCACGCGGTTCTGACCATTGACATGGTACGTACCCGTGGTGAGTGCGGGACCTCCGGAGAAATATCTGATTCAGGTTAACAGGATAAATAAAGATAATGGCGTTTGCAGCGTTTTTTTATGTGGTTGAACAACATTGCAGTAACACGCTGGCCGCTACGTACTCGAAGAACTTGCAGTGAACTTGTTCTAGGGAATTACTATTTCAGTAAAGCCCATTTCCCTGTCTTTTTCACTGACCAATCGCGATACACTTGTAGCACTCACCATTCAGGTACTTCTCGTAGGCCGTGTACGTGTACGGCCCCTTAAAGCTGGTCAGAGTCAGCTTGATCACGCTGGCGTTGAAGTTCTCAGCCAGGCGCTTGATGAAGGCCTCTTCATTTGTCTTGTTGACGCGCATCTGGACACGCTTTAGCTCTAGAAGGTCCTGGAAGATTTTCTTTTCTGCTTGCACTCTGCAATGGCGAGCCAGAGTTCACAGTGTTGCTAGGAATACTGATATGTTTAAACCGAGAATAATACTAAAACAGTGAGCAGAAGGTTGGTACGTATGGTTGGTGACTCGAGCGAATAATATTAAAACAGTGAGCAGAGGGTGGATGGGTATGGTCGATGATTCAAGCCCTACACCAAACAAGAACAACTACGGAGTAGTTTATCCGTGATGCCGAATAACATTTACGTCGATTACAGCATGTGTCGTCTGCGGCCACCCGTGGCATCCGTTCACCACAGCGGCCACCCGTCGCATCCATCTCCTGCCTCGAGCACGTCATCTTTCACTGCACGTCGGTCGACGGCCTACCTTTGCGCCTTGTCGCTGGTGGCCGCCTGCTCCGTCCCGCGGTCGGCCGCTACTAGCTTGCCCTGCTGCGCGCGCGTCAGGTGGCTCAGGTCCCGCTCGAGGGTTGGTACGCGCTGCATCTGCTTGAAGTCCTTGGCCGAGTGTACACGTTTAAGCCGCGGGACGCCGTTCTGCGAGGGTCTAACGCCGCTAGCTCGCGGTGTCGGGTGGCTGCTCGTGTCGGCCGAACTGGGCAGGATCTCGGCCAAGGGGCGCGGCCCTCGGCCCGCTTTCTGCCCCTGTCCCGTCTGCCCGGTCCTCTTCTCCGCCGCGGCTGCTGCCGCTGCCACCGGCCCGACGTTGTTGCCAGCCTGCGCCACGTTGGCGCCATGGCGGCCCGGCAGCCGGGCGTCTAGCACGCGCACAGGCAGCCGCGAGCCAACGCGGCCCGTCTCGCCATCGCTGGCGAAGCCGGGACGTGGCCGGCTGGGCGGGCCGGCCGTCACCTCGTCCTCGGAGCGCGCTGGCCGCGGCCCCGGCGCGTGTCTTTCCACGCTCGCGATGCCTGAGTCAGCGCGCGCCGGCGACTCGGGTTCGCTGTCGTCACGCGCGCTGCCGGTAGTGGCGCCACCAGCGCCCGGCGCCGGTTGCCGCGTCTGGGCGCGACTGTCGGCCTGCCGCCGCTGCCGCCGCCGCTCGCCGCCCGCGCGAGCGCCACGCTCGGCACTGACGTCAGAGCTGGCCTCGTCCGAGCCAGAGGCGCGCGTCTTGCGGCGCCGGCGGCGGCGGCGGCGCTCGGCCGAACCGCGGCCAGCGCCGTCCGTCTCGCTGGCGTCTTTCTCTTCGGTTTCGTGCAGGTCGCGCCGTTGGCGTGGGTTGTCCAAGTCGGACGCCACCTGACGCATCCGTTCGGCTTCGCCGTCAGCCTCGTCCCGGCGGCGCGATCGCCGCCGCGAGCCTGTCTCATCCCCACTGAACGCGTGTCGCCGGGACCCCTCTTCATCTCCGCTGTGCCGGTGTCTCCGCGATCCCGCCTCGTCTCCGTTGTGCATGCGCCTCCGGGACCTACTCTCGTCTCCGCTGTGTGGATGTCTCCGGGAGCCACCCTCCTCTCTATTGTGCAGGTGTCTCCGGGATCCACCTTCGTCCCCGCTATGTGGGCGTCTCCGGGATCCACCTTCGTCGCTGCTGTGTAGGTGTCTCCGCGAGCCGCCCTCGTCTCCGCTGCACATGCGCCTCCGCGATCCGTGGCCACCGTCGCCGTGTTCGCAGCGCCCCCTGTGCCGGCGCTCGGTGTGACGATCCCGGGACCGCGAGCCCTCCTCGCTTTCGCTGCTGTGGCCTACCTCGTTGTGCCGCTCACCATGTCGGTGCCGCCGCCGACCGTCGTCACTGTAGTGGTGCCGCCGCTGCCGCCGCCGCGCGCCATCCTCCTCCTCTTCCTCCTCCGAGTCGTACCGCTCATCCACGTAGCGCGTGTTAAGCTCGCGCCGCAGCCGGCGGCGCACCACCTCCACATTGTGTACGTCCTCCTCGTCCTCGTCGCGGATGATCCTCTTGCCCCGCCGAGCGCGCCGCTCGCTGTCCTCGCGGCCCGAGTCGGGCGTGTCGCCACCATGGCGCCGCGTCCGCCGCGTCGTTTTCGAGTCCTGCCACCACGCGGCGCTGGCGTCGTCGTCAGCCGAGCGCGAGCGCTGGTGCTGCAGGCTAGACATTTTCACCTGGCGGCGCACGGGAGAGGTAGGGAGCTGAGACACCAGCAATTAAACTGCCTGTGTCTCACAAAGGCATCACTGTTATCCGTGTGGTTAGCGATGGTCACAGTGCTCATTTGCTGGTGATCCTGCGCGATATTGATAAAACAACTGTGTGGCACCGAAGAAAAGGGGTTATCAGCTGTCAACAGGGTGTCAATGACAACACATGTAACCTGTTAAGCAGGTTTCTGTCCGGTCAATGCAGATCGCTTTACCAAATAAGAAAGTGCACAATAACCAGTATACTGACCATGTAGCGCTGCTCCGGCTGGTCAACAAGTGTTAGTTATTGATGTCTGATAGCTTTCTTGGACTCTTTGTGAACATCGCGTGAGCAAACCGTCGCGTCCACCAAATAAACCTTTGGCTCATGCCTTGTGAAAAGCTAATACTTGCAACTCTCCAGTAGTGTGGTGACGGTAATACGGAGAGCTATTCTGCCAGATATTTTGTTGCGTGCGAACATACATCCCACCACCTCGAACATTTCAGACAGCAATTGCTGGTAAAGTTAACGTCGGCGCACAACGCCGCCAAAGACGTGGGTGAATGCAATTCGTCAAAGTCCAAAAGCTTTTCAACCATACTCGGGTCGACTTTATCTCTACCGTTGATAGTGGTCGCCAGCTTAGTTGGCAGCGCCATCAGTTGCCGTTGGGTATGCAGGCGGGTATGTGCGAACACCGTCAGCACTGGGCTCACCTTAGTCCTGCAACCACAAGCGCTGTGATTGTAAGAGCACGTGAACAACAGAGAGTGAAGTGCAGAATGCAAATATATGCATACTGTCGTTCGATTCCGACGACACGAACGAAGACATATATGTCCCTGCGTAGGGTGTCGGTTAATTCCTATCCAGTACTTCGATCCCTGCTTAGAGTTGTCTCTTAAATCAAGATCACCCGTGCAGATGCTGCTAATCATCTCTCTAAGCTTTGCACTATGCACAGTTCGTGGCGTAAAACTCCCAGAAGTTGTGACCCCAGATATGGTAGATTCAAACGGATACTTCTCTATTAACAGAAATCTTCGAGGCGAGACAGTAGAGGACATCGTCAATTCAGGGCCACGAGTGTGGGACGCCATCGACAAGTCCAGCGGTCAGCCGAAGAGCGGCCCTGACGGCGGCGCTGTCACTGTCCCTGACGACGGCCCTGATGTCCCTCGACCGGACACCTGCACCGTGCTCCAGTCCGGCGTGCTAGAGTGCGACGGCGCTACGCCGAGCGAGGCCACGAACGCGGCCAAGCGGCACCTGGCCGAGCAGCCGGACGCCGAGACGTGCCCGGAGGACGGCGACCAGTGCCAGGCGTCCGAGGCTCCGGCCGAGGCCGAATGTCCTCTCGGTTGGCTGCGCGTGGGGCCCGCCTGCTACGACGCCGCTTACCAGATGCGCGCCGGTCAGCGAACGGCGCGCCGCTACTGCCGCGACGGCGGCGGCGCGCTGCTGCACCCGGTCAGCGCGCTCGAGGCCGCCTACTTCCTGCGCTTTTTCCGCGACCTGTGGGTGGGCGTTGAGTACAACGCGCCGGCCGGCCGCTGGCAGTGGCTGGACGGCACGCCGCTGCCGACCAACGTCAGCCTGCTGGGCGGGCCGCAGCCGGAGCCGGCACGTCGCTGCGTCCGCCTGCACACAAGAGAGCCCGCCTCGGGCACCTACTCGTTCGTGAAGACCGGCTGTGGCGCGCTGCACCCGTTCGCGTGTCGCGCGTTGCTGGACGGGCTGCGGCGGCGGCACGCAGCGACGCAGCAGGCTGCTGCGGTGGCGCCGCCCGACACGTGCCCGCCGCTCTGGACGATGATCGATGGCTGGTGCCACCGCTCGCCGCGCCTGGTCGGCGACTGGGCCAACGCCGAGCTCTGGTGTAACAATCACGCCGGCAGCAAGCTGGTCAGCCTGCGCAGCCGGCACCAGGAGCTGGCTGTCGACGCGCTGGTCGGCAACGCCAGCAGCTACCACATCGGCATGCGGTACCGGCGCGCACCGCGCAACTGGGGCTGGATGGACGGCACCAAGGCAGACTACGGCAACTGGAAGCACGGCAACGCCCCGGCCTGGGGTGGCGGCGACAGCGGCGAGCGTGACGTATCCTGCGCATACCGGCACGTCAAGAAGGACCTTTGGGCCGCCGAAGAGTGCCGCACCGAGAGGCTGTTCGTGTGCGCGTTTAACCTGGCTGACGGACCTAAGCCAGCCACCTAGCAGGCTGTCCCAGCCGGACTTGGAGTGCTGTGTGTTGGAGCCGTGGAAAGAGCAGATGCGGTGAGATATATATGCAGAAGAGGGCGCGCGCGAGCGAGTTGGGGACGTTGGGAACAGAAACGTAGTGGCGTAGTAGTTTTTTATGTTGAAAATGTGAATCAAGGAGCGTGGGCATAACATAAGGTGGGAGCATATGGAGCCTCACGCTGAAATGCTGCAGGAGAGCTCCTCAAATTAAGTATGCAGGGCAGAACGCCTCATATTGGACTGGTTCCTGAGTTTTCGTCGTGCGTAGTCAACCATCCAAACTTTAATAAGGGATGATTGCGTAATAAACCTCAGCGCAAGCGTCAGGACCCGTTTTACTAGTTTCCGTCTGTTGGACGGACTGTAGGTTCTGGTGCATCCTGTCGGGCACGGCACCAGATCCTGGTAAGACAGTTTTTATGTTCTCTGCTGAGCCTGCTTACTTCCCCTTTTCTTGGGCAAAAAACTAACTCCTCTCTTCCCTGCCGCCCTCCAGCAAACAGCCAACAGCGAAGCATTCCTGACACCCATGCCCGCAGTCTTCCGCTCCGCTGCCTCCGACCTCGGGCCGCAGTCCTGGACACGTGGCGATGGCATGTCGGTGGTAGTTGACCGTCTGATTGGCGCCGAGTGGCGGCCGCTTGTTGCACGCCAGGACGAGGGCTTATTAGGGCTGCGACGCTCCCCCAGGCCCCCCCCCCCCCTTCCCCCAGGGATGGCCCGAGTGGGTCACGCACTGACCGCGGCGACATTTTGCTTGAGGGCACCTAGAGGTGAATTACCTAGGCCATGTCGGCTAGAACATGCCGGAAGTGTGGCTTGGGTAGTACCATGACAATGCCATGTCAGATGGGCATGCGTGATGACTTGCTTTGCCACTGTTTTCCGCGCGTTCAGTGACGTACTCGCGGTACCAAGCCCACTTCCCGCCCGACTGTACCGACGAACCGTGACCACTGTCGACCTGTGCCCCATTTCTCGGGTGGAGGGGACATATTGACCCACTTTGATTCTGCACCACACGCCCTTGTATGCTCGTGAACCCGTGACCCGAAAGAACTTGGACGCCCTGGTGCTCGGTTTGCACCGACCTGGGCGCCCTGGTGCTCTGTGTGCACTGACCTGGACGCCCTGGTGCTCGATATGTACTGGCTTGGACGCCCTGGTGCTCGGTGTGTGCTGATCTGGGCGCCCTGGTGCCTGGTGTGCACTGATCTGGACGCCCTGGTGCTCGGTGCGTGCTGATCTGGACGCTCTGGTGCTCGGTGTGTGCTGATCTGGGCGCCCTGGTGCTTGGTGTGCACTGACCTGGGCGCCCTGGTGCTCGGTGTGTACTGGTTTGGACGCCCTGGTGCTCGGTGTGTGCTGACCTGGACAACCTGGTACTTGGTGTGCACTGACCTGGACGTCCTGGTGCTTGGTGTTCAATGACCTGGACGCCCTGATGCTTGGTGTGTTCTGATCTGCACGCCGTGGTGCTCGGTGTGTACTGACCTGGACGCCCTGGTGCTCGGTGTGCTGGCGGTCCGTCTGCACGCCGTCGTCCACGGGCGTGGTGGTGAACGTGGACGGGCCGGAGCGCATGTACGAGGAGAGCGACGAGTGCAGGCCGTCCGGCGACAGGTTCAGGTTCAGGTACGTCTCCGGTGACAGCACGAACGCGCTCTGTGTCTGCGATTCGCTGAGCGCGCTGCTGCTCGCGCAGGAGAGATGCGGAGTCAGACGCAGCCCAGGTTGCGTCACCGGCTCCACATGTTTCAGACAAACACCTAGCAGTCTCTGGGGGCGCGGGGCGAAACACGCCACTCGAGAACAAACAGGCGGACACGGGGAGAACTTAGACTTGCCAAACTCGTTGGATGTGCACGGGGGAAAAGCGCGGTGGGGCTCAGTAGCTAACCGACGGCGACTTTTTGAAGGCATATTTGTGCCGGCATGTGAAGCGCCTATTGCGCTCATTTGAGTTGCAGCTCCTCCCGAATTTGAGAAGCTGCTCATTACCACAGTAAAATGACATAAAGCTCCCAACAACAGCCACCTGGATGTTCTTTTTCGTGCGATCAGCTCCTCCTCACGCACACGGCTCTGGAGGCTTAGGTGCCTAGAAAATGAGTGCATCGAGTTCTAGGCCTGTTCCCGACCGTGACTTTTCCCATTTATTATTCTGAGTAAGGGCAACTAGCCAACTTGTGTTTCGGTGGCAGTGAGAAGAATCATGTGGGAATGTGAAACTCGGGTCGACGGGGCCGCGCTGGGATGGCAAATGCTTGGCTGTTGCCGACAGAATGACTCCAGCAAAATATCCTCGGAGTCGGCAGCGGAGGAATGCCTGCATCAATGAACCATGATATTCTCAGTACTGTGAGATCGGTCTGTGGCTTTGCACGCCGAGCTGAGCCTTCCACATAACGCCTTTGTCGTTGACAACGAAAGGCCAGGGAGCCCGGTGGCTCATCACTTGACGTTGTCAGCCCTCAGCCCGCCGCCCATTAGTTGGTCCCCCTCCCTCCCCGTGACCCTGCAACACTCACTGACTGAGCGCCTTCATCAGCGTGTTCTTGTCGGTGAGCGTGCTGGCCGGAACGCCGCCGTGCAGCTGCAGGTATTTGGCGCAGCCGCGGTTGCCGCGGTACAGCGCCGAGTCGAGCGGCGTCATCAGCTGTCCCTTGCTCGAGCGCATGATGGGGTTCACGTGTGCGTGCAGGTCCATCAGCACCTGCGAGTTGGGGCCGGTGTGACGTGCGACGCCGCACCCGAAGCTCCAGGGGTGGGGGATCTGGGCGGCTGTTTGTGTCTGTGCGACAATCATCCATAATTGAGACGTATTTCCATGTCGCGTATACATAATGAAATGTGTGCGCGTTACTGCGCATGCAAAGGTCGCGTACTGAGCACGCCGAATGACAAAAAGGCGAAAGTGCAAATGGTGTGTTGATTACTGTAGGAGTTGTGGAATTTCGGGGTCAAACATCCCGTCGTAACTTCCCATAAATTGCAAAACACGGACCCTAAGAAAAGACAGCTCATTTGGCACCGACAGAATAATAGAGGATACAAAATGATGAAGACCACACTGTAATGGATCGTTAATATATTCGCAATCAATTACGTCAACATTTATCTCCCAGACCTCACCATTGCCAAGCCTTCATGCTTTACACATGTCGAGCTAATCACTGGTGGGAGTGCGGGATGGCGGATGGCGGGGGGGGGGAGGGTGGATCACGGAGGCATTCGGCACTCCTCAGACTCGTGCTTGACTCTGCACCGCGCGAGTTCGTTGCCGACTCTGACTCCGCACAGACTCCCGGCAGACACAAGAGCGAACTGATTCTGATTCGAAACCAAAGCGTGGCTTGTTCTAGGAATTGATCACGTAAAATGTTGGATTAGTTCGTAAATTCTGTCAGTGTTGTCACCAAGGTTTCCATGTCGTTCACCAGCGCCATGATTGTTGTTTACGCCTCCTGTGCGTCAGAATGGGTAGTTTAGTCATGGCAGGGATGTGTCGTGCTATTTAGCGGCATCCTTGGTGGGTAACAATGGTATTTGTACAGCAGTTCGGACCTCGAATGTGGTGAGACGCGATCAGAACGGCGTTGAAGGGCGGCTTCGGCCTCGCTCGCTCACAGCCGTCACGTTGGCCCTGCACCAGAGGCGCAGCTGGGAAGGGGAGGGGGCAGCGGTCCGACCACTTACCTTAAGCCCGCATTTGTTGTGCTGTTTACACATTACACGGATCCTGACAGATTTAAACTCAGCGACGTGTGTCCTCACTGAGCTCTCTTCGTCTCAAAGAAATCTTGTCTGTCCTCCTGTCCTGGACTAAGACAATCTCTGGGCAAAGTTACAGTGTAATGCTGCTACATCTTAAGCCTGCGCAAACAGAAAGCGGGCAGCTTCAAACACTCCGTCAAGATTTTAGGATGCTCATTAGCTATTGTTTTACTAACTTCATCCTTAGATTTAACAACTTGCGTCTACCGTGCTCCTGCACGATACGGTTCCTTCGTCGTATATCACTATAACAAACACCGGACAGCGCAAACGGTCCGTAACTTGCACGAGTTCCAGATCAGGCTCCCCATACAAATACAGCACCGTATTGACATAGATAGAATCGATCAACCTACTCACACCTGCAAGTTTCAGAAATGCAGCGGAGGGTCATCGCCCTAGATGTGAGCCTTGCAAGCACGAGGTGCCCTTGACGAAATAGCACATTTCGGCAAGCTTGAAACCTCTAGCCAACGTGTTGCATTATTGGCGGACAACCAAATTACACAGTGCGAACGTAGTCGTGTAAAGACTGGTAGGCGTCAAATGTGAGTTATTTACGTGCCTCTTCGAAAGTGGTAACAACTGTGTACTGTACCTATATAGCCGTTATCGTCATCTTCCTCTAGACTGTACTTTTCGGCTCCCAGTTGACGACGAACATCAATTAGGGATAAGTTGATGATGAATTCCCAATGAAAACTACACGTGTCAGCTATCACTATTTTTGGTGGTCAGTCTAATCAGAAGAAATTAAACGGTCCACTTGCAGAAGTCGTGCTGACGTAACAATATGAGTCTCTCGTGACAAAGGCATATCTTTTGACTGCGTGCCGCACGCAATGGCGCCGTCAATCCCGGGAACTCGCCACAGTTCAATTTTTCGCTGCTGCAAACGGACGGTGTCGTTGAATGGCACTCAACATTTTGACCAGCGGCATCAGTCACCATAGCAATCACTGCATCGGCGTCACAGTGCACTGGTACAGGCAGGCACTGTCGTTGCCTTGCTCGGAGGAACATCATGTTCGCTTTAGTCTCTGTCACATCATACGTAAACAGCCGTTACATGCGGACGGCTGGTTGCAGGACTGTATGGTGCAGGACCGCTAAGGGGTGACGCTCCCCTCCCCTGTCCGTGACAAGGGCCGGCGTCGGTCAACCCTGACCGCCCCTGATCCCCGTGGGGTGACGCCTCCGTCCCCTGACTGTGACGACAAGGGCCAGTGTCGGTCGACCCTGACCACCCCCGATCCCCGTGGGGTGACGCCTCCGTCCCCTGACTGTGACGACAAGGGCCAGTGTCGGTCGACCCTGACCGTCCCTGATCCCCAGCGTCACGCAAACGGATGGCGGCATAAATAATTCCCGTCTGTTGACGTCACCGTGTTCTCACGCACAGGGAACAGCGGACGAGCTGTGCCAAGGTCGATGGCTCAGACACAGCCCGTCCACCAAGCACCAGAGCCACCACAGCTCTACCGCGACCCCGGGTGATGAGATACCTCGCGACACCACACAGCTCGATTCCATGCAAAACTGAACAGCGCACTCGTCTACAGCACGAAATAGTTCGCTCATATGCCTCGTGGCCGCAATCAGCGAATGAATTATGGTGTGCGGGACGCTTGACGGCTGAATGTCGTTTGGTAGGCTGTCTTCGAGGCATAGCACACACTCCGTTAAGCTTCAAACTGAGCATGCATCTACTGCACTATGTACGCCGTGGGCCGATCGACCGGTTTAAGCCGGTATTGACCGCCCGAATAATGCCCCGAAGCGTGGCGGGCGTCGGTCGGCCGGCTGCGGGGAAACGGTGTCGGAGCGTGCGTGGTGGGCTGGGCCGGGCCAGACGAGCACGTGCGGCCGTTTGGCCGCCATGATGGCCGGCGGCATGTGATCCAGCGCGTGATGCTGATGGACGGCTCATGCATTGTTCATTCAGTTTAATGGGCCACGCTGCATGGCGGCATGTAGCAGCAGTATCGATCTCCCAGGTGTGGTGAAGTCTTTAAAAAATCTTATTTGGATTGGGTAGCCACTTGCAACCAAGGGAGATCGGTTCACACAACTTGTTCAAAATGTACGTCCCTGGTGCCTAGGTATAAAAACAGAGCGCAAGCAATAGTAAGTAGTGTGCTTCAACGTCATTCATTCAATCCTGTTGTCTGCTGACATATGCCGTGGTTTTCGTTTCCATGGTCTGTTTTTTATAACTTATGTTTGAGATATTTGCAACGATAAGAGTGTCGACGGCCTAGCAGCTCATGCTTGATCTCCGTGTTGTTTTATCTTAGTCAATGAGCGTGGGAACAAATGGCATTCAATGACGATGGGTGACTTATTTCCCACTCACTGCCACAGCACTAGTTCACTGGCGGGCAATCATGGTGCTTTCCTGTGAGCCGTGGCACCCACGAGAGACGCACCTTACACATCTCGATGTTGTTGTTGATGGCGGCCACGTGCAGGGGGCACCTGCCGTCGTTGTTGGGGTTGTTGACCGCCTCCGGGCGGTGGTGCAGCAGCCACCTGTAACACGGAGCGGTCAGCCGGCCGGAGAGGCAGCCGTGGGCCGGCGGTGGTGCAGCAGCCACCTGTAACACGGAGCGGTCAGCCGTCCGGAGAGGCAGCCGTAGGCCGGCGGTGGTGCAGCAGCCACCTGTAACACGGAGCGGTCAGCCGTCCGGAGAGGCAGCCGTGGGCCGGCGGTGGCGCAGCAGCCACCTGTAACACGGAGCGGTCAGCTGTCCGGAGAGGCAGCCGTGGGCCGGCGGTGGTGCAGCAGCCACCTGTAACACGGAGCGGTCAGCCGGCCGGAGAGGCAGCTGTGGGCCGGCGGTGGTGCAGCAGCCACCTGTAACACGGAGCGGTCAACCGGCCGGAGAGGCAGCCGTGGGCCGGCGGTGGTGCAGCAGCCACCTGTAACACGGAGCGGTCAGCCGGCCGGAGAGGCAGCCGTGGGCCGGCGATGCGCTCGCGTGCAGCAGCGGCTTATCAAGACAAGACTCCGCTGCAACAGAGCGCCGCTCGGCTCAACAAGGCCCACCCGGTGGTGGGGGGACCAGTTTACTTTTCGTGTCCAGGAATGGGGTCATCGGTAACTAAGAACACGTTAGCCTCCGAGGATAACTGGCCTGTTTATGGTCCACAATGACACACATAACTGCCGCTGACCGTAACAAATAGCTGGACGGGACAGCACGGTAAAACTTCGCACATCGCCGTACTTGATCCAGTGAAAACGCAGGCTAATAACTACTTACATGCAGATATTGCCCCCATAAAGATGTACCTGTTGTGAGCAAGAAAGGTCTTCAGCCTCTGGTATATTGAACTATGAACACGGATAGCAGAAGTGACACACCTCTATTACACCAGGGGGCGCTTGCTAATTACTATCAACCAAAAATTGGTGTCTAGACAGTGATAGTGGTTTTGAGATATGTCGTGAGTGTCTTGTGCCTCAAAGCGTGGAATTCTTTATGATATACGCCCGTGTTTTCTTGATGACGACTCACCAGAGCCTCCTGATGTGTTGAAGGTCAGCTGTTCTTGGCAAAAGAACCGACAATGCCTATAAAGGCAGTGCGTTTCAAAGAGGACCTCAGTACTAGAATCCCGCACTGTTTCGGCGGCGAAAGGGGAACATTTGAAATTACAACACCTTCGACTGTCATACAATAAGACTAGAACGTGCGGCAGACTGGTGATTGTCAAAAGCGGAGTATTGGGTCAAGCCAGGTCAGGGAAGAACTTCGAAAGTACTTTTCTGGCAAGCTCATTAGCAGCCGTGTTTTTGGTGAAAGCAGCGGTGACTGCCCTCATTGATTGTCATGACGTCAACTTGCGCCTACCATCCGGGCTTTCTATTGATCATGCGACCAGAGCGCTCAATCATATCTGATGGCATGTTATGCTGCCCAGTCTTGTTTTGTCTAGCATGTCATACTCAGCTCTGTTCTGTCCAGCCTTGGTCAAGCACCCAGTTCCATCCTGTCAAGTTCAACTCACGTGGCCAGCTCCGTCTTGCCCAGCTCTACTCACGTACGCAGCTCCGTCCTGTCCAGCTTTATTTAAGCGCCCAAATCCGTGCTGCCCAGCTCTGCCCACGAACGCAGCCCCGTCCCGTCCAGCTCTGTTTAAGCGCCTAAATCCGTTCTGCCCAGCCCTGCTCATGCGCGCAGCCCCGTTCCGTCCAGCTCTGTTTAAGCGCCCAAATATGTGCTGTCCAGCCCTACTCACGTAACTAGCTCCTTCCTGCCGGACTGGACGGACTCGTGCAGCGGCTGGTCACCCTTGATGTTGCGCATCCACAGGTTGGCGTTGTGTCGGCCCAGCATGCGTACCGTTTCGATCTGGCCCTTGGCTGCGCCACAGTGCGCTGGCCTGGCGGATATAGGGCACACATCAGCGGTGCAGTCAACGAACCGTAGCAAACACGCGGGCGATCGAAAGACGGCGAGGTGGTTTGAGGAAATGGCGTGGCACGTGAGTTCGGGACGAATGAAGCTTCGCACATACGTCTGTCTCATAGGATGATGCGTGATCAGGTTAGGAGAAATAGGCCATTTTCACTCAAGCAGACTGCGGCGCAACTCCGCCACCTGAAACACTTGCATTCCATAGGCTATGGATGAGCAAGTCGGCGAATACTGCAAATTGTTGTGCTCATCAAAAATGATTTATTTGGTGTGATGCTTTCACTTGGCTGGGAACCCATTACTTGGCTAACGGCTATGCTACAGCTCTGCTGAACTAAATTTCTTCAGAACCAAAGTCTGGAACGAATAGGTGAATATAAAGTCGCGCAGGGGATTATACAAATCCCAGCGTTTCGATATATTTGAGAACAGTTTCCATTTAAGGTTGATTCAGGTTGCGTTAGGTCCACTTGAAAACCGCGATTCCGTGACTTTACTTACTGTACCGCCTCTCTGGCCAGCTTTAACCGAAGCAGTGGTTTTGCATGACACCCAGGAGAGAGCGCTTACAAAAGATCAGAGACCCAAGGCAATTTCCTGGACAAGAATAGGGAGAGAGAGGGTGGGTTGCAGCGTCGTAGAGGGCACATCTCTGTTGGGGGAGAACGCATGTTTGCCAGTCGAACAGCTTTGACATGATGCTGACAGATTTCTCCTCGGCTTAACTAATTGTATAGGTGCCCTCAAACACGGGAAGCAGAGCAGTTGAAACAGTGGAACCTTGATCAGTTTTACCCACTAGCAGATCAACTCCAACAAAGGCAATGGCATGCGTCTACTTCCGCAGGTCAGGTTTGGTGGATTATGATGACTCATACACCTTGCGGTCCTGCCGCCAGCCCTCACGTGCCTTCTTTACGGCTCCGCTTTCCACGAATACTCACGTGCGTCCCTTGCGGTCCCTGGACACTCCTGTGCGTTTCTTGCTGTCCCTGTACACTTACGTGCGTCCCTTGCAGTCTCTGCCCACTCACGTACGCTCCTTGCGGTCCCTGGTCACTCACGTGCGTCTCTTGCGGTCCCTGGACACTCACGTGCGTTTTTTGTGGTCCCTGTACACTGACGTGCATCCCTTGCGGTCCCTGGACACTCACGTGCGTCCTTTGCGGTCCGTGGACACTCACGTGCGTCCCTTGCGGTCCTGTCGGTTGGGCTCGGCGCCACATTTCAGCAGCAGCTCTGTGCAGTCAGCGTGGCCCAGCGTGACGGCGTAGAATAGGGCCGTGCAGCCGTTGCTGTCCATCACGTCCACGTCGGCGCCGCACAGCGTGATCAGTGTGTCGATGCAGTCTGTGTGGCCACGGCTGGCCGCGCAGTGTAACGCTGCGGGTCGGATCAGGCTAAGTCAGGTCATGTCACGTCAGGTCAAGGTATGACGGGACAAGCCAGGACAGGAATGGGGGGGGGGGGCAGATTAGAATGCGTCAGATCAGGTCAGTGCACGGTGGGTCATGTCGGGTCAGGTCAGGCTAGGTCAGCTTGCGGTGTGGCGGATGGTGCGGGAAAGCCCATGAGGAGTCCCGTCAGGTTCTGGTAAGTCAGACCAGTGCAAGCGAGGCCAGGATAGGATATAATAGACCAGGTCGGGCTGAGTTCAGGCCTCATTTCACAGATGAGAGAGGAATCCGCAGTCAGTCACGATCACACAAGGGATAGTCTTGTTCGCTCCGTGCAGCATCCTTCCGTTGAATGTGATAACGATGCTCATCCCACTTGTGGCACAGCACTGGGTCCAGCACATACTAATTGAATGTAGTCAAAGTACGTTCATGAGTGCAACTTAGGTTGTTTATTAGATTCGCCCCAAGGGCTGAGATCCAGCCATCCCTACCATTACTGTTTTCAGTTCCCTTGATCTAAGCGACCGCATAGCCGTTAGAAGGGCTCGTCTGACCGCTGATCAGGCGCCGGCTCGAGCCCATCAGCGCGGCGGACGGCCGTCCTCCTGCGGCGTCCTCCTGTGTCCTGCTGCTGCTCCTCACCGGTCAGGCCGTCCTTGTCCTCGGCGGAGACGGGGGCGCCAGCGTTGACCAGAGCCACCAGTGCGTCCGGGCTGCCTGAGGGACAGTAGATCTTTGACGGCCGCGTCTCTGTAGGTGGAGCCGGCCGTCAGCGGCGCCGCGCCGGCCTCGCCCAGCTGTGCAGACAACTACTGAGCACGGCAGGCCAGCCAGGGGACAGAGCACCGCCGAGGGTACACACGGCCGGACGGGGAAGCGGGGGGGCATAGGGCACACACGGCGGGGCGGGAAAGCCGGGGGGGGGGGGGCGGAGGGCACGGCGGGGCGGGTAAGCGGGGGGCGGAGGGCACGCAGGGCGGGGCGGGAAGCGGCAGGGCGGAGGGCACGCAGGGCGGGGCGGGAAGCGGCAGGGCGGAGGGCACGCAAGGCGGGGCGGGAAGCGGCAGGGCGGAGGGCACGCAGGGCGGGGCGGGAAGCGGCAGGGCGGAGGGCACGCAAGGCGGGGCGGGAAGCGGCAGGGCGGAGGGCACGCAAGACGGGGCGGGAAGCGGCAGGGCGGAGGGCACGCACGGCGGGGCGGGAAGCGGCAGGGCGAGGGCACTAAGCGCGGTGGGGACGGATCCAGAGTCGAGGGATGCCGTAGATGCGCCCGCCTGATGTCTGTGTCTGTCTGTGTCTGATCTGATCTGATCTGATCTGCTGATCTGATCTGATCTCATCTGATCTGCTGAGCTGCTGATCTGAGCTGATCTGAAGTGTCTGATCAGCCGAGGATGCCTGTGTCCTGCCGGCGCGTTTGATCAGAGCTGCCGCACTGGCTTTGACTAGAACAAGGAGCTTCCTCAGCTGACCAACCACTGCAAACATACGAAATCTGCCCGTTGTTGCCGGATTGGCATTTGGCTGATCCTGTACTTGGTTTAAACTATGCACCGAACATATTTCTGCACCCCCAAACACAAGTACAGCTGATCGTTATTCGTTACTCTGGCTGCTAGATTTAGGTCGGCAATAGCTATTATGTGCTACTTACAATAATAGTGCCTACATATGTAAGTACATGTAGCATAGGTCTGAGCGTCTAATTCAACTTATTCTAAACTGTCTTACACTGCGAACCTGACATCTATTTATATAATGCGTCGCGCCAGCTGGGCTGACTGGAGACGTCTTGTACGGAGACGAGTACCAGTAGAAACGTCGCCACGCAATACGTGACCAATGACCATGCACGTCGAAGGGAGACGTCACGTCCAATACCGAGCGGGCCACTGCCATACCCTGGCACGGCGTGGCGGTTGGGCGACCGTGAACGCGCTGCGCCGACGCGTCTCTTCTGGGGCGCTCGGATCAGCGGCGGGTTCAGCCGCGCCACACACCGGCAACTCAGTGAACAGTTAGTTTGTCGCAGTGGTCAAGCCTCGGATACGGTCGGACGAAGCTCTTCCAGATCCCGCGGTCAACAGCCAATTCAATGTCTTTCTATCTGCCAGGTTTCGTGAGACGTAGCGTTGTGAAAAAAAGCGTGAACAAATCAACGACAGTTCGGACCACCCCCACACTTTCGCAAGGACAAAAACGATCTGGTGGCCATTTTAACAACCTACGAACCATTAATTTTTGTATACCGACACTCTGAGCGTACAGTTTGAAAGACGTGTTAGGAATAACACATATTTTTTCACTTCCCTGGCGCGACTTTCATCGTCGCCCAGAGTAAGGCTTGGGACTCAAAGCCAGCGCAGGCATTCGACCGCGACCACCTGCGGCGCCGCGGCTGCGGCAAGAGCCACGACAGCTTACTGGCCGACTCTAGCATGTTTACTGTGTCGCCGGACGAATAACTGCACGACCGGGGGTGTCTTGAGATTGCAGAGGGCGGGAAGTCTGGCGCTCTGTACAGACCCTGCTGGGGAGGGAGGGGAGGCGCCCGGAAAGCAGTGCCGACCGAGCCCGGACTCCATTTACCACCAACCCACCTGGCCCTTGGGGAGCGATCTCGCCCGAGCGCTCCGCCTGGGGCAAAGGTCGCAGGGGTCAGCAGGCGGCTTTGTGGGCGGAACGCCCCGGGCCGTCTCGCCGGGCCGCGCTTGTAAAGGTCAGTGACGTGCAGGAGAGCCGTTGTGCTCCATATCAATTAGCTGGAATTAACGTAGGCGAAATTTGGAGGATTGTTGCCAGGGCACCTGTTGGTCGTGAAGAAAAATGTAGAGATGTGCTGGCGGGTGCGAAATGACGGTCTCGGTCGACGAGCCGCTAAGCCACAGTAACTTATACGAACAGACGGAGACGGAAAGAGCAGATGCGTAACTCTAATCTATATACATACGGGTAATCTACGTAACTTGTTTACTAAGAAATGCTAGCAACTGCGCGCAAGCGTTGTAATGCAAACGCATGGGACGCTTCAGTTCGCCCAGAACATTGCCTGTGCACATTTTGCGTTGGTTACGATCTGAACATGACCTTACCATTAGACGCCAGCTTTTTAAAAGTCACATTATCGATTCACAACAAGAAATTCCTTTACTCGCGAAACAAGCACTACTCTGGTCTGCATGGGCGACTCATGAGAGAGACTGTATGCTGTCTCTCGAGTGTGACTGTCACATTGCCCTAGACTGACCTGCTGAGGCAGCCCACTGCAGTGCATGTCTGCTGTCCCTGGAATGTAGCTGTCACAGTCCATAGACTGACCTGCTGAGGGGGCCCACAGTAGGATTTGTCTGCTTTCCCTTGAGTGTGACTGTCACATTGCCTTAGACTGACCTGTTGAGGCGGCCCACAGCAGTGCATGTCTGCTGTCCCTGGAATTTCACTGTCACTGAATCTGTCACTGTCACTGTCACTGAATGTACTGAGGCGGCTCACAAGAGTGACTGTCTGCTGTCCCTGGAGTGTGACTGTCGCATTGCCCTAGACCGACCTGCTGAGGCGGCCCACAGCAGGGCCTGGCGGCCGTCGTGGTCTCGGACGGTGACGTCGACGCCGTGTGCGATCAGCTTCTTCAGCACCAGCAGACCCACCTGGACGTCCGTGGCCATCTCTGCCAACATAGAGCGGCTGTCTGTGACCTGTGCCGCCACTCCAAGAGGTAGTTGGGTTTTCTGCTGGTGGTCGGACCTTGGGGATTTGCCGCCAAGGTGCAGCAATGCCTGTCAGGTTCTGATCATGTTCTCAGTTTTGTGTCAGGTGGAACCACAAAATTATGTGATATTTGGCTATGTGCGGCACGCTGAGGGCCCGGGGTCATTTTTAAAACAGGTAAAACTCTCTGAGCCATCCTTCTCAAATGGAGTCACTGATCTGGACAAAGTCATTTGAGCTGTAGTCCCGTACCCACACGTCCCAGCCTCTGTCCGACAGAGCGCACATACGCAGCTGTGGCGTGAGCGATGACTGTGTTTCGGAACCGAAAACCAAATCTCAAGTTGAGGCTGCACATCCTGGCAAAATTATATCTCTGATGGACTCTGAGCATCTGGGCGGCGTTACCTGAGTTGGGCCCGTACGTCTGGGTGGAGTTACCTGAGTTGGGCCCGCACATCTGGGCAGCGTAGTGTATCGGGTAGGCGCCATGAATGTCTGCTGTGGACGGGTTGGCGCCGGCGTCGAGCAGGATGTCCATAATGTCCAGTTCCCCGCACACTGAAACACAGCCCATCAGTTCAAACACAGCCCAAAACACAGCCCACCATCAAACCGCCAAAAGCTTGATTTCGGAGTGATGCAATGATTGAAATAGAAGTGAGTCGCTCGGCTGGACTCATGGATGCCGTGCCGGACTCTCGCTCTGTCGTTCGGCTGGACTCATGGATGCAGTATCGGACTCACGCTCTGTCGTTCGACTGGACTCATAGATGCAGTACTGGACTCTCGCTCTGTCGTTCGTCTGGACTCATGGATGCAGTACCGAACTCACGCTCTGTCGTTCGGGTGGACTCATAGATGTAGTACTGGACTCACGCTCGGGGCACGCTGAGCAGCGCGGTTTTCTGTGCGATACCAAGGGTCGCCGCAGCCTGTGCCTCCCAGAAAGGGGAAAAACCTTTCTGGAGGAAAAACATTTACAGCGTACGATTTCGTGCGTGCTTTCGGTGAGGTCTCGGTGAAAATATCGTGGGGTTGGAAAGCATCCTGCACCAGAGAACAGCGCCCGCGGTGGCATTACTTTACGCTCGGAATGCTTGAACCGGAAGGTTAGCGAGTTTGGCAGCTAACGTCCTGGCAAGAGCCGGCCTAGGTAGATAGTCTGCCTGATGTGGCGATCCCAATTGGTGAGCAGGCATGATAAGTACCCCACCAGGCTGCGCCCGAATCGATGTTGTAAAACCACGCAAAATGCAAACATTGGCTTTAATGTAGAACTGCTCGCTAGTTGTAGATTAACCGACGGAAGGCGCGTCAAATTTGCTTTTTTGGGCGTTGTATTATTGTGGTGCCGTAGCTTTGACCAAGATTGTACTTGCATTTACTTTCATTTTCGTCCTATCATCATATTGCTACATATGCTAGACATAATAAGTTATGAATGCAATAAATGTCAAGACTGCGATGACCGCGGCGATCGCTTATCAGCAAGGTGTGACCGTTTTTTGTGTTGTGTTTGTGTGTGGTGAAACACCGATCGATTCTGGCTGCAAACAGAAATTTGAAACGCCGCTAGGAGTCCATGAACTTTTAAAAATTGCACCTATTTTGCACACCAATGTCTGTACGCACGCAAAGCAACATACACATCAAGTGCAGCAACTTCACAAGTTTCCTCTATATTTTTTTCGGTGCTGGCAACGTTTGATGTCCAGGCGACTAGCAGGTTGTGCTTAGCAGGGCGCCTGTTTCTGTTTATCTCGATGTTATCGACTGCAGTCATGGATGGTAGTAACCGTCAACTGATAGCATTTCCGAGCAATTTAGAGCAGACAGAGAGGCAAAGGTCCGGTGTTTTTCGGTGATCTTGTATCCTGCGCCTGCGAGAGCATCCTCTCCACTTATACATGTGACTTTCTGAATGTGTCAGAGCCGAACAATGATCGATTGTTATTCTGCGACTCTCTCACGAGCTGCTGATTTGGTACAAGGTGGCCATCGTTACCAATTTGTCACTACCGCTTGCCACTTGCGAACCCTCACTTGCCTTATTTCTCACCCCTCTCATTCCTACCCGTGCTTTGGAATGCCATAACTAGCCGGAAGTGTTTTCTACTGACTAGCATAAGACACAAATGCACTGCATTTGATCTGGATAAATATTCAGTGCGATGGAGGTTGTTTATTCCAAAGTGCGTACATGCCTTCTATTTCAGGCAACCATAAAATGCATGGTGGTAACTGCAACAAAAATCGAGCAGAGACCCTGATCCTGCCACCTCAGTTCTTCATCTCACAAATGCGGGCACAGACATAGTTTCGTATCGCTCGTTAAATGTTCCTCAACGAGCCTGCACGTCTGCGGCTTTTAAGTCCCGATCGAAACCGATGCCATCCACGCGACCACATTCCAGACCACGACGACCAGCAGGGGTTGGTGTAGCGCCCGACTGTCCGAAGGTGACGTGATAGCGATAGGGCCAGTGCATTGTCTCGGAAAATTCAGAAATCCAGGGGCGTGGTCCATCAGCACGTGTCCCTACTTTTCAAATTTGCTACATTACTGGAAATACGATATTTCAGTGGGTGTGTTGAAAGGTGCTGATAACTTAAAATAAAACAAATTATAATAAGACATCGGGGACATGAGCCGGTTTGAGAAATTCAAGGAGTATCCCGCCCACGCAGTGCTTTTAACTGGATTTTTAGTGATTTTTCTTAGCTGTGGTCTCCCACACTTCAAAATCCTGCGATGTCCTTGCAAAAACCTCCGTCCTCGGTTTAAATAAGGAAGCCTGTCCAAAGCTCAATTTAAAGTGATTGTAAATTGAATGCAAAAAAGGATCTTTGAAAACGGAAAAGATCCACTCCAGCGGAGGACTCGAACAGTGTGAATGCCTGAAGATACGTGAGATCACATGGCCTCCCACAGCGTGCAGTTAAAAAATCTGGAATAAGAAGTCAAGACAATATCTGATGTTTCCCTCTGCTGCTTTACTGACCCTGCCGATTTACTGATACTCTGACGTCGTCAGACCCCTGATGTTTACAAAACATCTAACTCCAGATCTTCTATTAAGATCCTTTGGGAAGTAGTGCTGTCTTCTGTACCTTAGGACTCCATCCGTGAATCCATCTATAGACCCCTTTACACGCACGCACCGTGAAAGGTATTGGAGTGAAATTCTACGGTTTCGAAGATGTTTTTTTCCCTTACACGGCCACGCGTTGAAAATCGAGCTTGTGGAAGTTCCTGCGCCTCCAGCTGATTTGCCACTTCCCCGCTTAAGCTGAGGATGGAGGTTTCTGAAGTGAGATGAGGCAATGCGCCTGCGGACCGCATGGCGGAGTTCGAAGCGCCGGGTGATGCGGCAATCACTGGGGATCGTCTCGGTCCTACAACGTGGGCACGTGTTCTGTGGTGCCGTAAGCTTGGTGCGTGCTCGTCGACAGAACCATGGAGAACGACATGAAACTGTGATAAACACAATGACAACACGTGAGAAGGTATGAATGCATCTGCGAATTCGGAGAACAAACCTCACAACGCGTGGATCATTTATCCCTATCCAGTACGGTGAGCTTTTTCACTGTAAAGGAAGAAACACGTTCTGCCAGCTATGATCTTTTAAAGGCAATACGATGAGAAAGGGAGATGAGACCTGGGACACCCCAGATGGCAGTGAAAGTCAGTTACGGTAACCACCTTTGGTTATAACGACTCGCACACGACTCGTCGGTTCTCTACCGGATGCTGGGCATTCCGAATGTTGGAAACGTTCGGAATACTCGGAATGCATTGTTTGATGTTGAAACTGGACTGTTTAAGTAAAGAAAGTATGAGTTCAGATAGAAAACAACACAACGACTACAGCAGGCCGCATGGCATGATCCACATCTTTCTACCTGGCAAAGTCAATGGCAAATGTAGCCGCGCTGACGCTGCTATGCATGCTTGGAATTGACACATGGGATATAACACATGCCAATGACAGCCTTGTAATGAAAGATATGTAAAACCTTGACAACGAATATAAACGGCACCAAGAAGCGTAACTAGGTTTTTATGGTTGTTGAGCCATAATTATTTTAGTGTGCTTATATCAGGACGCACACGCCATTTCCTAAAAAAATCAAGGTTTTTGGGTGGTCTAGACAATATCAACTTCCGCAACGGAAAATTGACATTTGACCTCAGCCTGCCAACACGTGCCTGACTGCCGCCAGCATTCAACGCTTCAGCACGGTAATTGAGATGGTGGATGCTGCCCAACAGATGGCGGCTGAACCCAGGGGCGGGGCTTGGATGGCCGTCGGCATCGACGCAGCCAGACCGGCTCTGCGGGCCGCGCCGCCGCCGCTTTGTTTCACTGTAATACGCACCTGCACGCGTAGCGGCGGCGCCGGTATAATTGCCGGGTCGATGGGGCGAAGGTCAACCTGTCAAACGGCGCGCCGGTCACGGCCGGCCCCAGCCGGGCCGATTTCAGGGCTCGCGCACGGTAGCGGCGCTGCGCCTCATTGGGAATTGGAAACCCGAATCCACGCCAAAGGTTCTGTCGGCGCTGCGGACTGCCGTACTCCAATGACGTCGACCACGGGTGTGACTTTGTGAAGTCGGTTGGAGGTAGGTAGGAGAGGGTAAGCCGATAACGTTGACCGCGCATGCACAAAAAGCTTGAGTTTTCTCGGATTTCGGCCACTTAATGTGCGTCCCCGAAGTACAAATTAACATTTACACACATGATTCATGGATTCCAAAATTGTGTTGCTCCAGAGGAATGACTTTCCATTTCAAGGTAGGGTGAATTCGCATTTTGATATGAAAAGTTTCGAGTACGACGTTCACGCAACAGCTTTCTGATTAACTTGAGTATTTGTGACCAATAAAAACAAGTGTTGTTTATCATTTATCGAAGGTAAAGGCCACTAGGGAACAACAAAAGCAGGGAACAAAAAGACGGCGGCGTGCAGAATGGCGCGTTCTGAGACTTTGGTCGAGAGCTTACGGAAATATATCGAGTGCGGTGTCTCGATCAGCAGACATGTATCTTGAGCCAGAGAAAATATTCAATATTTGATTCCACAATATGCACACACCCTTGCCCCTGAAAAAATCAACACCACTTCATAATTTCTTTTGCTCCCAAGCACACTGTACCCGATTTGCTTCACACACAGAGAGCAGTCTGTATATATAATGTTTTTGAGTCGTGCGAACATATAGGTGCTAAATATGCCGCCTTTTCTGTGAGAATGAATGCACGGAGCACTAAGTGAGGTATTTTGATTGTGCCATAAGTTCTCGTTTTAACAATACAACAGTTTCGCGAAAAAGTCATAGAAGGGTGAAATAAACGGACTGTCTGTGTGCAGCTACCGTTTTAAAAGATAGCCGGGCTGCAAAAAGTAACCAAGCTTACTCAACAGTACCAAGCGTATTTCTTCCACAGTCAACACTGCGGTGGCATTCAACTTTACATCCAATGACAAAACGTGGTAAAAAAAGATATTAGTCGTCACTGATTTCGCATTCGTCAAATCGTGGCTATACAGAC